TGCATGTGAGACCTCAGTGATCACAGTATTATAGAACAGTCTACTGAGAACTCCAGTTAACTCTGTGAAGGTACTGTGAGGAAACAGTGTTGATAAAATTCCTTCATGTTACTGTGTGTAGCTATAATTTGTGAATTTTTATTGCTGTATGAGCTTCCATTGTGTTCATACACTCCCTAAATATTAGACTGTTGATGGACATTTTGGTTGTTCCCAGTTTCGAATAATTATAAACCATGCTGCAAAAAACATTTTACATATTCAAAAAAGTGTGGATGGGATGGCACCCTGATTCTCTGGGTTAAATCATTATCCTTACACTAGTCCTTGAGGTCCTATGTTACTTCTGTGACCTTGGTTATTCCATCCAGCCATACCAATCTTGGTACTCATCAGACATTCCAGGCATCCTCCTCTCAGAGCCTTTGCACGGGCTATTCCTTCTCCCTGGAATGTTTCTCCCCAAGGTCTTCGCCAGGCTCTCTCCCTCCCTTCCTCTAAGACTGCTTCCATGTGTGTCCATGAGACCCACCTGACCACACTGTTTACCATTCCATTTGCTTCCCTAACATTCTCGTTCCCCTTTATCTTAGAGCTTTACTTCTTCATACAATTACCATGTATAAATTTCACATACATTATATTTCATTATGGTCAACTGTAATTGAAAATAAAATAATTATGTAAAAATAAAGAAAAAAAATTTTTAAATGTATATATTTCATTATGTTTATGATTTAGTTAGTCTCTCTCCCATGGACAGAAGCCCTAGAAGGCAGGGAGCTTTTTATTTGTTCCCTGATATATCCTAGGGGCCTATATATCCTAGAATAGTGCCTGGCACACAGTAGGAGTTCAATGAATATTTATTAAAGGGTAAGGTAGATAGGATCAGGGAAAGGATTTTCTAAAGTGGGAGCAATGTGAACATGTCTCACTGCAAAGGCAGCCAGTCGAGGCTGAAGATACAAGAGAATGGACTGAACCAGTTCCCGAGAATGTGGGAAGAAATCGGATCCAGAGAAGGGGTGGTGGGGTTAGCACTGGAAAAGTCCAAGGCCTCACAGTGAAAATTTTATCAAGTCCTTAGCAAAAGTGTACGGGTTAAAAATTTTATGTGGTATTTGTATTGCCACATAATAGTTGGCTCTTGAGGTCCTGGGCCTCCTTCAGGATGGCTGAGCCTAATGCTGTTTAACTATGAATCCGCCCCAATGTGCTCCCACCCCCAGGAGGAAATGAAGAAAGGATGGATGCGGATTAGGCATCCTAGGCTCATTGGTAGGATCACTGTTGGGATGGCCGTTCTGGTAGCTAGTTTCATTTTGTTTTGTTTTTCCCAGAAGTGGGAGATGAGGTCATTTATTTGTGCTGGTGGTGGTGAGCTTTGAGGTGTGAGGAGAATGGAGGAGGTTAGGTATTTTTATTATGGAGAATGGCAGAGTATTAGAAATTACTGCTATAGTAAAAGGTAGAGAAAGC